TTTTCTGGTATTTTTATGAAACTTGGCATGGTAATAGAAATGACAGTCAAAATAAACACCTTAAAATATTATAAGCCTATAATATTTTAAGGTGTAATATTGATAAGTATATCTTCTTATTCTTATATATAAAAATGAATCGTAAAATGTGTTGGTAAGCGCATAACTCAACAACGTCTGGGCTAATTTGGCCAATTCTTTTTTTAAAATGCTCGTTCAAGTCCAAGGATGGTCCTTACGGCGAGAAAAAATCGAATAATTGCCGGGAAAAAACCCTAAAAACAGCCCTTTTCTTTTCACATACAAACGTTTTCTAACTAAAACGTAGAATCAATTTGAGCTTTATTGCTATTATATTATCATATTAAATTACGAGCACTCACTGTATGCTTTTCCTTGACGATTATTCGGATTTTGATAAATCTTTCTGAAGTTAGTTAAGGAAATTTTTTGGGATGTATGTGATTATAAAGTACTGGGATGTATGTGCAATATTGTAGAAATAAATCGAAAAAAATGCAAAAAACGACATGTAATTGTTTGCATTGAAAATAAATGAAAACTATCATCTGCCAAAAAATTCAATTTACTTATGAACCTAGACAATATTAGAATATGTATAATAAATTCATGATTATGAATAAGAAAAATGAAATGTCTACATTATTATTGCCAAAAAGCAGCTGAGATGTGCCAGAAATTAAAATAATATAAAATACAGTATATGTATGGCAGATTGAATGATACACATATGAACAGGATGTGACAAATTAATTCACTTAAAATATGAAATTAAATAATAATCAGGGCCGGTCCTACCTTTAATGCGATGCATGCAAAAAATACGAGCGCACGCCTTAGGGGGCGCCAACACAAGATTCGGATATCAAATTTTCACTATATTTTTTTTTCAATATATAATTTTTTTGCATCTTTTACTAATCTTTCCATAATATTTTTAAAATTCGTAAAAAATTCACTTTATAACAACAAATGGAAAAGTAAATATGAATACATACAATTCGGCCCTCACGATATCGATTGAGAGAAGTTTAAGATGCAATTTTGGATATCTTAAACAATAAAAAATTGAATTAATTTAATTCAACACGAATTCCAGTGTTATGTTATGGTTATGTTATAACGTTTAAAAAACTTCAATTTCCAATATAGTTTTCTATATTTTGTATCGCTCATATTTTAAATGTATATGCATTTTGGCGTGAAGAGTAATTTAAAAAACAATAATTATTATTTTTGGGTAAACGGTAAATATTAGTAAATTATATTAAAAAATTGTACACACAAAGTTGTAAAGTACAAAGTTGTAAAAAATATTCCATCAGCAATATTTTCTTTCATATATATCATTTTTGTTCTCAAAATAAACGCAAATCGATAATAATAATAGACATTTTACTAAACAAAAATTAAAAACCTTTTAAAAAAATGCATACATTGACGGGATTTGAACCCTAACTTTTTTATCTGTAAACAAGAGCATGAAAATTGGGAGTTTGTGACCTAAACGACTGAGCTACCGAGACAATTTATTATGGAACACTAAAGGCGGCATATTTATCACAACTTCTATTATTTTTTATAAATACACCACTTTCTATAGGCCTATAATAATTTAGGCTCTTCAGTTTGACTATCAACTCTATCACCATGCAAAGTTTCATCAAAATCCCAAAAAAATAATCCTGATGTTCTCCTCGTAAAGTTGACATGGTGGATAAAAATATATATTTCTAGGTTAACTGCTCGTACTCTACCACCACCGATTACAATATACCCTAAAGCCATCGACATGGGTGCATGTCTCTTAACAAAGGCATCTTTACCCACTTCACCCAAAAAGAAGGACACTACACCTACGTGTGGGGATTCAACGACGCCACTGGTCAGGTAAATTGTTATCTAACAGCTCCATAAAGCATTATTAACTTCCCGTTATAGAAATCGAAAATGAAAATTTTTCCATTTCTCGATGTTTTGAAGGTTTCTGAACACTTTTGAAGGGCATACCTAAGAAACTAAATAGAGGTGTGTGTGTGTGTGTGTTTTATATGGCCGCATTTTTTGTCCACGTTTTCGGTCGCACGAATCAACCGATTTGAATGGTTTAACTAGCTGTAAGTGGAATTTTGTCTTAAGGCAATTAAGGCATCGTGCCTTGAGGCAAATTGCTGGAACTTCCCGTACCAAAAATTATTATTTTTTCAAAAGCGATTAACATTTTGGAAAAAATTTTACTTCGAAAAAATTATATGTTTGAGAAACAACAAAAAAATTGTTTGAAAAAAAAAGTTTCTTTATTTTGGCATAGTTTGGAAATTCTGAACTTTTTTACAAAGCAATCGTACTGCTTTAACTGCATAGACGAAATGTCAAAGCGCGTAAGCGCCGCGTCGCCGTCTAACGGATAAACATTGGTACGGAACTCATAGGAAAGTAAACAAAATTCATACTTATTGTAAAAATCTATAAAATATCTTATAATTTGATGTGCATATGTCTAATGATCACTTTTGACCGCCGAATGGCTTTTTGTTTTACTTTTTTTATTAGATCTCCGAAACCGCTAGACCTGCCTTTATGAAAATTTGATCAATTCTTCATCTTGTCAATACAAGTAAAATGTTTTTTGAATTACGTGTTACCGTTTTTGGCACTTTTTGCCCCGTATCTTCGGAACGGCTAGACCTGCCTCTATCAAAAACTAATCAGCACGTCTCCTTATCAGTACGAATCGAATGTTTTTAAAATTATTTAAATCGGTTGATCGGTGTTCTGGAAATCGTCGACGAAAATTTGTATCCGAACACACACACACACGCACACATACACACACACACACATACATCCATTTTTTCTAAGGTATGCCAAAATATTCAGAAACCTTTGTAACGTCGAAAAATGCAAAAATTTTCATTTTCGATTTTTTTGCGATTACTATAACTTACCCTACGGAAGTTAAAAAACTTTCTGCTTGTATTGACAAAACAATTGCTTTCGAGGATAAAAAATTATTACATATTTTTTTATTCTTCATTATTTATGAATATTTTTGTAATTTTGGATAAAAAATTCAAAAAATTATCCAGGCTAAGCACAGACTAAGCACCACTCTGGTACAAATGTTTACCCAAGTGCGTTTAGACTGTTTATGTACTGGAACACTTTTCCAATTTTGTGAAAACTATTGAGAAATGTGAAAATGCCGCCAAGCTAGGCACAGTATAAGTGAAAATATCGCACAGAATTATTTGCAAATGCGTTTAGACTGTGACTATACGGGAGCACTTTTTCAATTTTGTGTAAATTAGGCAATTAAACTATTCTTTTCTAAATTGAATTCGAAATGAAATGACGATTGTTAATGTTCTGGAGATAATTTGATTGATTTATGATTTACATTTGATTTTACTCAGATATAACAAGATAGCAAAAATAATGAAAGTTACAGTATTTGTAATAATATATTTGAAAACATTTAATATTCCTCGAATATTTCATTACGATACGGGAAGTTCTAGCAATTTGCCTAAAGGCACCATGCCATACACCACTAGTTTACTATTATTTCTTATGTAGATTTAATGGTGGCGGTGAATCTTGGCCAAAACCGCCGCCTCCGTTACGTTACAAAGATTTCTTTGACGTGACGAATGAAACGACACGAGCGATTTGTGTGACGGCGCGGCCGCCTAAGGAGTTAAGGTCACGTGTGAAGTTGGCACCGGGGAGGACAATCATACCAGTAAGTAGAAAAAAAAAGAGCGCGATTGAAGTAAAACTTTTTTGCATTCTAGCAAAAATAAATACATCATATAACAATTTAGTATAATTTGTATTAGTCTTGTATTTGTATTTGTATTAATACAAATTTCCAGTCACGTTTTCGGGCGCACGGATCAACCCATTTCAATGGTTCAAAAAACATTCGATTCCTATTGATAGGGAGATGTGCTGATTAGTTTCTGGCAAAGGCAGGACCAGCCATTTCAAAGATACGGAGCTAAATGCGCAAAAAATGGCATTTTTTGAGAGAACTAATCGTCTGATTTAAATGATTCAAAGAACTTGCTGCTTGTCTTAACAAAATAATTGATTTTGAAAAAAAAAAAAATTTTTTGTTTCAACTTTTTTCCTAATTTTTTTTTTGTATATCGAAAATAATTCAGATTTTATTTTTAATGCTGACTAAAGTTCTACTATACTATAAACAAATAATTTCAACTTTGCAATTCAGTTTATATAATTCTTATAAATATTAGACAATATTACAATATTTATAATAACAATAATAATCTATTTGGAAACATTCAGTATTCCTCGAACATTTCGTTACGGTACGGGAAGTTCCAGCAATTTGCCTTAAGGCATGATGCCATACACCCCACTATTTTATATATGTATTTATCTACTTATTTAGTTATTTATTTATCTATGTATTCAACTAGTTATTTTTCTAGTTAGTTATCTTATTATCTATTTATGTATTTATCTATCTATATATCTATCTATGTAATTTTCTATTCATTTATTTAATTTTTTATTACAATTCATTTGTGTATACTTTCTACTGGTTTACACTTTTTGTATTTAATTCTGTTTTTTTGCTGTTGGAAATTTTATTTAAATGGTCTTAAAATTTTAAATTATAATACACCGATGATGAGACAAACCTAGTCTCGAAACGTTTGTAAAATTAATATTATTTAATAAAATAGTTTAGACTTAGAGAAACATTATGAATTTGAAAATGCGCGCCATTGTTAAATGTGAAAGCGATATGAGAAGTGTCTCATCTTTCTCTAAGTATACTCTATGCTCCAAATGTCAAATAATAAATTTAATTTAAGTTGAAATCAGTTATTGTATTGAAGTTGAAAAGGATTGTTGATTAAACTAGGTTATTATTTAGCCCGCGCCTATTTTGGAATTATTTCAATTATTTCGTAAGTGAGTATAAGCAGTTAAAATATTTAAAAATGTCAGAAGAAACAATTATGACAATGAATGATCCGGCAATTAAAATTGAACCACCAGAATATTCAGAAGAAGATATTAAACACGAAATTCAGGATGATATTGATGTTTTTGATGGTATTGTTAAATCTGAATCGTGTTCTGAGGATGATGAAACCTGTTTAGAAAATTTCATGAACTCTGAAGTGACAATCGAAGAAGAAGTGAAACAGGAGTTAGTCGAGAGATCAGCTTATGAATGTGACATTTGTGATCAATCATTTGCAGAATCTGATCAATTAAAAGAGCATATGGTCGATCACAAGCCTAGTAATAGCAAAGAACGCCCTTTAAAATGCGAAATATGTCATAAGACTATCAAACAAAAAGGTTACCTGAAAACTCACATGCTTTTGCATAGTGGAAAACGCCCCCATGAATGCAGTATATGCAACAAGACATTCACACAAAGAAGTAATTTGAATAAGCACATGATCATTCACATTGGTGAGCGTTCCTACATTTGTAGTATATGCAATAAGACATTCACACAACCAAGTGATCTGAATAAACACATGAACATTCACTTTGGTGAGCGACCACATCAATGCAGTATATGCAATAAGACATTCACACAATTCGGTAATCTGCAAAGACACATGCTGATTCACAAAGGAATACGCCCTCATCGATGCAATGATTGTAATAAAACATTCACACGATTCTATCATCTGCAAAGACATATGCTGATTCACAAAGGAACACGCCCTCATCAATGCAATGTTTGTAATAAGACATTCACACAATTTGGAAGTCTTAAACGGCACATGCAAATTCACAAAGGAATATGCCCTCATCAATGCAATGATTGTAATAAAACATTCACACGATTCGATCATCTGCAAAGACACATGCTGATTCACAAAGGAAAACATGGCAATTTATAGTCGAAAATGTAATAATAATCAATGAAATATAAACATTTCTTAAATTGAATTTAAATATTAGGAAAAAAAGTTAATTAGGATAAAATATTCTTCTCAAATTTGTAAAAGAATGTATAAATAGTATAAAATAAACAGTAAACATCACATTATATTCATTTATCGTTAAACCAGGCAATTGTTACTTAATATATCACTTTATTGGTTCCTTTTTAACTTTTCTTAGGGTAAGTTATAGTAATGGGTCGAAAATCGAAAATGAAAATTTTTGCATTTCTCCATGTTTTGAAGGTTTCTGAACATTTTGGCATAACTCAGAAAAAATGGATGTGTGTGTGTGTATGTATGTATGTATGGATACAATATTTCGGTCACGTTTTCGTGCGCAAGGATGAAACGATTTAAATGGTTCAAAAAACATTCAATTCCTATTGATAGGGATATGTGCTGATTAGTTTTTGACAAAGGCAGGTCCAGCAGTTACGGAGATAAAGAGCAAAGAGTGCAGAAAATAAAAATCGAGTTTTTGAGAGAACGGAGCATCCGATTTGAATGATCTAAAAAACATTTAATTAGTAATGATTGGGAGAAGTGTTTATTAGATTTTGGCAAAGGCAGGCCCAGCCATTTCGAAGATACAGAGCTAAATGTGCAAAAAATGGCAGTTTTTGAGAGAACTAAGCGTCCGATTTTTATTATTCAAAGAACTCTCTGCTTGTCTTAACAAAATAATTGCTTTTGGAAAAAAATGTTTCTAATTTGTTTTTTTTGTATATGGAATTTTTTGAAAACTGAACATTTTTTAAGCAATCGCGCTACATAGTTGATTTGGAGTCGAAATATCAAAGCGCGTAGTCGTTTAAAGTGTAAACAGAACCCATATAAATGTACACAAAATGTACACAAGGCACTCGACCTTGCCGTAACGCACCTCCGTTGCATTTATACAGATTTACACCCTAGTCGCGCCTAAAGAAGTTTTACTTCAAAAATGTCATCCTTCACATCCCAAATCTCTCCAAGCCGTTTGTGCCTGCATTTTTGAAATGTCTAAAAGTACAACTTTTGGTCACCACGTAACAAATTGTCTTTTACCCCCAGGGTTCATCATCGATCCAGTTCACCGTTCACTTCCAACCAGACATGGGGCTAATAAAAACCAAATACTACTCCAAAGAAACCAGAATCTTAGAATTCCCAATCTCCATATGCTGTTCCCAAACTAAACCAGCAGGCGATCCTGAACATTACGAAACTGATTACGGACTTTGTCCTCCAGATACTGTCACAGTCTACTCTGTTTTGACTTACGGATTGACGATTGAGCCACAATATATAGATCTAGGTGTTGTCAACACCCATGAAACCGTCTATGCAGATTTGACACTGAAAAACGAATCCGTTTTGTACAAGACAAGTGTGTTCCCATATTTGCCCAAATGTTTGACAATTGAACCAGGCTATGGGATAACTGAGATGCTGCCGAAGGAGGAGGTCAAGTTTAGGCTGTTTTTCAGCCCTAGTGTTGATGACATCAAAGGTAAGGGTAAAGGATATATGGGTCATTCTTTTACAAATCGTACGGATTTTCGAAAAAATAAAATGTCACATTTTAGAATTGATATACAGTAGAACTCCAATTATCCGAACTCCAATCATCCGAACTCCAATTATCTGAACTTCGACTATCCGAATCGCCGATTATCCGAATCACTTACAGAAAAAAAAATTGTCCAAAAAAAGTCTAAGTGCGCTATTATCCTTCCACCAGCAAAGCCAGTGTAGGCACATTGTTTGTTTTGATATGACGGAGATGTTTACAAAACAATGATTTTTATTTCTGAACTTGTACATAAGTACATTTCATTTATATTTAAAACATGTGAAAATGTCATGTTTCTTTCATTTAATTCAATAAAAAAATAGTACAATATCAAAACGTAAATTTTTTCTCTCCAATGGCAATTTTAAAAACAAACTCCGATTATTCGAATATTTGATTATCCGAATGGGTCCCGGTCCCCATTAATTCGGATAATTGGAGTTCTACTGTATATATATAAAATATCAGATATTATACATAAAATCATTTCACACGTATTTCAGGATTTTGCTGAAAAATTTTTTTACGTAAATATTTACGATTGAAATATGGATTTTTTACTCAATTTCTATGAACATCATCTGTGGTAATTTAATTATCTCCGGATGTGCTGATCGGATCAGTATTATTATTTTTTATTACACTCATATTGAAGTAAACTTTGTAATGATTAAAAAAAATTTTCTTTGTTTTTGCAATTTTCTTAACAATAACAACCCTTAAATATTTACAAAGGTTTTACTCAGCCTTACCCCAACTTGAATCGATCCAAAAAAAAACATATTGTTTCTTTTTTTTCCGGCAACAAAATTCTTTTTACAATTTGTTGGAGACTTTATTACATCGAAAGATATTAAATATTTTCAAGCGCGAGCCGCGCTTTTCTCGTCGGGGACATCAAAGACTTGTACTCATTTGTCACTTTCGAATGACTATCTTATTGTTTTTCGGTTGAAAAATATTTTATAATTTCGCTTCTGGCGAAAAATGTATAGTCGAAAAAAAAAACATAAGGAGAGAGCGGAGCTTAAAAGTTCGTGGGTAAAATATCCACTGCCAATATCTCAAAAACAAGTAAAGTTAGAAATTTTTTAACAACAATATTTTAATCGAGGTGTCAAGGTCTGGATGGTGTACGGTTTGTAAAAGAATGACCCATATGTTTTATTAAGGGGCACAACTAGTGTAGCCGCCTAAAAAAAGGTGATTTTTGGGAATTTATATTAAAAATACTACTTTATCAATCATTTCAAAGAAAGAATACATAGTAAAATTTTTGAAGATAAAAATCAAATATTTTTTAAGCTATCGTCGATCTCCAACGGAACGACAAAAAAAAGGCCCTTCACTGCTGTAGTGATTCCGGTCTTCTACGTGGATAAAATTAAAGAAAAAATCTCGTTAAACTAGATAATATTGTCTGTAAAATGACCTACAATAAAAAAAAATCAAAAATAGGCAAAATGGCAGCGTTTTTTTTTAAAAATGTCGAATTTTACCCAAAATTTTGGTCGTTTTTGGACTGCCAAAATTCGATTTTTGATCCGATCAAATAATCAATAGTTCATTTTACGGAGAACTATATATAGAATATGTAATAAAAATTCGTTAGTGATCGGATTATTAGTTTTTGAGTAATCGCTGCAGCAAATTCGGAAAATGCTGTTTCGAGAAAAACGCGTTTAGATAAAATGATCGTTATACTATATACTATATACATACTCTTTAAATGGCTGTGACTCAAAAACTATTTAAGATATCGATTTAAAATTTTGGTATGTTATTTTTGAAGGTATAGCCTATCGAAATATCGAAAAATTGAAAATTCGATTTTTTTATAGTTGTGCCCCTTGGTAAATGTGATGTATTTTACTATTTCCTTTACCCAGGTAATGAGATTGGAGTACCCGGCAAACGTGGTTATTGGTCTTTTGATTTGGATTGCACAACAGTTGAGGAATTGGATACAACAAAAGTGTTCAAAAAAGGATTTTCAGACGTTGAGGATAGTTTCATAAAATTAAGTGTCAGCAATAACAGTAAAAAGTCTCCCACAACATCAGATAAACTTGAGATGAGGTTGTCCGATTTTCAACAATGGAAGTCGGATCATGGTTCAATGGATTTGCATTTTTCCGGTGTACTGAAAGCTGAAGTCTTATCAAGGTAAAATAAATACATCATATAACAATTTTGAATAATGTTTATTACTAATATGGTAACACTCGTGATGCACACATTTATTATTGTCAACCATTATACACATTTATATATTAACTAGATGACCCGACAGACGTTGTCCTGTACCCACATCCATATTTTTTTCATATCATATACTAATATTTACCGTTCAGTTAAAAATAATTATTGTTTTTCGAATTACTATTTACACCAATATATGAGTGATGTTAAATGTAGAACTGCTTCAAATATAATGATGATTCTCAATTCCCACAGTTAACACTTTAATTATCCCTTTAACAAATATTAAAATATATTCAATAAAATTGTATATTAAAAATTATACACTGCAATTAATAGAACAAATTTATTTCCAATAGCTCAATTTATTTTAATGCCAAGTGTTATTCAATATTTTTAGTCATACCTGTAGATGTGGATGTATCAATGCATGATTTTTTGTTTATTCACGACTAAAACTTTGATTTTCCAAATTTATCACACAAAAATCATCATCTGCTTTTGTGATGTATTTATTGTCATAGCAAAAATACACATGTTGAAAATTGAAATCTTTTAAAAAGTATAACAAATTCAGAAAAAAATAATATATAGCATTCGCGGTAAAAGTACAATATCACCTGGGAATTTTCTACCCAAAATAATTGCTTCAATAATGTTGCCTATAATTTTTATAATTTCGTACCATATTTTAACTGGCTTTCAGTAATTTTAATATCTAAATTACATTTTTCTCACTAATAATTCAATATACATCATTACTTAAGTTTTGAAGTGAATTAATTTGTCAAATCCTGTTCACATGTGCTCTATTCAACCTACGATCAACAAAATTATTGCAGTAAATGGAGAGGAAAAAGCGTGTACCCTGTGATTTTTTTTTACTGTGCTCCAATTTGCATGATATTTTTGAAATAGGCTAATCTTAATCTCAAGTTCAGAAGTGAAAACAATTTGCACTCCGTCACCACCCACCGAATTAATTGAATTATAACTCTATTAATGTTAAACAACGCCTAAACAAATATTGTTTTCGCAACTTTACTCACCATGTAATGATTGTGTTTGAAGAACTTCATGTAATTAAAATTACCATACATTCATTTACTGCTTGTATTTTTTTGTACTTTTAATCTAATTCTTTAAACAGCTATAAAATCTGTCTTGCCTAAAAATATTTTACATTTTAATAACTTCA